ATGATTCCAGCCTTGAGAGTTTGAAGCATTTTGCTGCAGTGCCCTCACCGCAAACACACGGCACAGGACAGCTGGCCTCTGATCTACACATGATTCAATGTTCCTAAGTGTGATGAACTCGCTGGCCGTGCAAAGTGGTTGTTCGCATTCGTTGCGCAGTTGCACAGCTTCCCGGCCAATTGTGTGTCTTTTTGTTCCTCGACGCTCAATGTGCTACAGAAAGCGACACTGTACAGTTGCTTTGATTGTCGCCTTCGCGTACCTGCCCACCCGAGTTGGAAGTGCGGCGTTTGCTGTGCGTTCCCTTGATAGTTTTGGCCCCACATGTTGGTTTCGAGAATCATGTCAGCGACCTTGCACGCCTTACGTAATGTCAATAAGTGGGAACCAAACAAAAGGCAAAATCCGGATCAAAGTACAGTGCTCACTGATCAATCAGAAGTGAAACCTGCCATTTGCCGCACTCATGTCTTTCGAGAAAGAAGAGTCCACCTCCAATGTGGTGGGATTTCACATGCATTTCTTGGCTCACCAGGTTGGCAAGTTACTGTTAGGAGAACCGGGGGCCCAAAAAGCGGGAAAAATAACAAGTCCTGCCCAACCAGTGCAGTGAAAGTTGACACCCTTATGAGCGTACATGTACATAGAATCACGGAAAGAATTTCGTAATACATTGACTGAAGCCGATCTGAATTGAATCTGCTGATTGGATGATTGGATGCTTCATGGGCCCGGGCCCTGTTCGGGAGCCATCCACGATTCCTCTTGGCAGCCGAGAGAGGAGACTGAGGAGACTCAACTCAGCACAGCGTGCCACTCCGTCTGGAAGACATCAAAAAAGAACATTTTTTTTCGGATAGGCCACGGCATTCCCGTCAGAGCTGCCTTACACTGCCTTTGTTCGCATTGGGCGGTTGTCAGATTCTAAGGGCTGGTGACTTGTGTGCCATCCAGGTAACATCAGCAATCCAAGCAGCTCTGGCTGGTGGGTGAATCACCGAAGCCCTTGCACTGCAATGTGCACAAATTTAAGCCCCTGCCAGTTTTCTTTTCGAGATCTGCCAGGAGACATGCGAAACCAACGTATCCTTCATCACACCGTCGAGCGTTGTCCCTTATGTTCCAACAACTATTCAACTATTCTATACTCATGCGGAGATAGACAACTAGTCCGCCAATCCCTCCCACTAGCAAAATCCACGTGCGTGATGGGGAAGGCAAAAAGGCTGCCAAGGCTCTGACAAACCTGGCCGAGAAAAGATCTGAGATCATTCACTCGGGTTTAAACTTCTCAGCACCTGGGACTTAGTAGGGCCCTTCCGGCGGATTCCTTGATACATGAACCTTAGGAAATCATAGTTCGCTTGTTGATGCGGTTGGCACACAAGCTTGGCTTTAGACATGGGAATGTGACCAGAATCGCATGTTTGCCGCCACACCCTCGATCCCAAGGAGGATCGGATACGAGCTAAGTTGGTCGAATCCACCCAGCGCTAAGCTGATTAAATCAGCTCCGCGTGCTTCGCGGGCTGTACAAGGCCAGCTGACGCAGGTGCACGGGTGCACCGAAAGAGGAGCCATGGCAACTTCTGCGGCTTTCTGGCTTGAAACTTCTTATATAACTTTAGTCAAAATAAAAGGGTGCTTAGAAGATCAAAGCACTTGCGATCTAGAGCTCAATGGCTCGAAATGTGCCGTCTCTTCGAAGGTGCTGCTCCAAGTTGCGAAACCATTTTCAAGAGGGCGAAACGCGTTGCGGCCCTAGTCTAATCAATGACCGATAAAAATTCCAAAAGGTGCAAAGGGGTCAAGAGTCGCTTGACCGACCCGAACCACTCAAATGGAATCTTCCAACTGTTGCCGGGCAGCGGTGACCGGACCTCAGAGTGACACAAACCGGTCGGTGCTACGTGTCCACAGAGACAAATGGTCGTTCTCTTTTTCAGAGTCTTATCTACAAATGCTTGAGCTGCTTGGACACGGACAACCTTTAGCACTTGCCGCCAAACCAACAATACCTTCAATTTGGAGAGCTTTCCGGCTGCCTCAGTGGCGTGAATCGCCTTCCTTCAACCGCCCGCGCCAAAAAAAAACGACGCCAGTGCAGCAAATTTGGTGCAAAACGAGCATCGCAAGCACTTAACCGGAACAAAACGAGCTGACTGACCAAGGTGTGTGAACATGTGAACTCATAAACGTAAATCATGAGCCATTCCAAATCCAGGACCCCACCTCCTTTGGCCTTCAACTTCTTGAGGCAGCCCACCCTTGCACGGATTGCAGTTGCATATCACATCCATGAACTCTGAACCGGTTCCAAAAATGCTTAAAGGGATTCAAAGGGTTTCCTGGGATTCTTTGAGAAGCATTCCAAGTCCCTTAAACCACGTCTGACAAAAACCTCGAGCAGCTGAATGCTGGGCAAGCAAGCTTGGAGGGAGGCACTAGTCCAAATCATACAATTCATATCATATGATATCATATACTCGTTTGTCCAGTCAATCTTGCTCTGTCATTCCTTTCAATCATTCTTTGGGGATCGATTGAGCACAAACTGAGTCTAACACGGACATAAACGATCTCATCCAGCAAATGTTACGTAGAGTTGTGTCAATTTGTGTCTTCATTATGTATGTATATATATATATATGTGTGTGTGTGTGTCTAGGAATCTTTTTGAATAATTGGAAGATTAGGGTTTCCGTGTTAGAATCCGTCCTTGGCCCTTTGCTCTTCCATGCGTCTGAGAGGCAGCTGCTTCCAGCATAGGCTTTTCTGGCTTGGCGATTGTAAGAGTGGGTCCAGCCTCAAGGATGCAGAATGGCCGGAGAGCGGGCTTGCGGAAGAGCCACCCGGCTCGAATTGTGTTCAAGAGAGCGAGCTGCATGTTCTTTTCAAAATCTCTCCTGTGATTTTAGTCCTGAAGATGCAGCACTAGGGAGCTTACGCTTTCAGAAGCACCGGATTGAATGCGTCTCTCTCAATGAGCTTTGCCAAGAGAGACTGGCAAAAAATGTCGCACTGCCTCACACGTCGGACGCAACTTACTTCCACAAGCACACACATATGAGAAATTGGGTTGGATTCAAACGATTTCGAGCATGCCTTTTTCTTTACCAATTCTTGCTCAAGGACCGGGTGTTTCTTTTTTGTTTGTCACAGCTGTCCCCTAACTGCATGGGTTACGCACCTGGCGCTTCAAAACGAGAGATTATGTGTGGCTCACTTGGTTTGAGTTGAGTTCCAAGTCTGTCTGTTTCTCGAGCCGTGCAAGGGAGGCTGCGCTCCGCCGAATTTACGGTCGAACGGTCCTTCGTGGCCTCCTTATTCCCTCCAAACTGGGCTCTGTTCATTGCAGGCTTTCCTAACCTACGGTAGGGTGTACAGTGTACGTACAGTAAAGTCCACCATAAGAAGCAATCGCTTACGGACTGGAACTTGTGCTTAATTAGCCGTCAGAGGTGAGATAAAAAGTTGAGAGGCGAAACACCACTGAACAACGAAACAAACTTACAGGTTTTGGTTTTGGCCTTGCTGAAGGGTTTGGGACTGAAGGCTTTAGATTGTATCGGATCATGCTGCAGTATCTTCTGTGTGCTCCATGATATCTTCTGATCTGCAGAGCTCCAAGATACGGCGCATCAATCATCCAGTCTTCCAACTGGGCGATGGCCGGCTGCAACGCTTCCTGTCAGTGGCGGCCAAAGCTACTCACTGGACAAGTTCCCTGCCAACAGCCCCAACAACAACTGAGGTTTCTCATAAAACCGTATGAAAAGCTTTCACATGCCTTAAGAAATTCACAGGTGACGAGCTTTCGCCCAATGAGCTCAGCGATCACTAGCGCGATAGCTTCTTCTTTCTTGACCTGTGCCACTGCGTGCGACGTCTCACTTTACGCTGCTTCTGCACCTATGCTTGCCACCAAGGCAGCCACAGCTTTCATTCGAACAAATTCACTCAGTCAGTCAAGGCCCTCAAGGCCCGGCAGCCTCCTCAAACCCCATGTTGACCAGCATCACAAGTGCTTGCTTGGACTCCTGTATGAAGCGCAGATCAGTCTGGTGCGAGTTTTCATGAGATGGTGGACTTAAGAGTTGCTTCCTGATTTCCAGTGCTGCAGCCAAAGAAAGCAAACGGCAATTCAAACCAATACCAACAATACCAAAACACTTGCTGAAAACCAAATAAAACCAAAACACGGCCCGCTGCCGGCTCGGGCCTGCGGGCTGGGCTGGGCTTTCTTCCAGGCGGTTTCCAACTCGCCGCCATCGCGGTCCTCCGCGAAGTACTGACAAATTCTCCTCACCTCAGATGTTTTCATTCATGTTCAATCATAATCACATTTGATTTTCATGACATGACGCCACAGCTGAAATCCAAGGAAATCTCTGCCGAGATGCATATGCCCTCAGCTGCGGCATTGCGAGTCTCAAAACGGAGTCTACTCTTGCTAGCGCTCCATCTAACTAGTTCGACTGAGGAGCATATCCAAGCTTGGCTTGCCTCCTTCTGCCACCATCTTCTTCGGCCTTTGGGCCTTCACAAACGAAGCTCAACCCACGAAGGAAAAGCAGCTCAAGCCGACTGTTTTTCACGGACAGGATAGTTTCGGGAAACACATGAAAAAACCTAAAGCACTTGCAGGAGGCAGCACGCATTGACGGTATGTCTGTCAACGTTCAAACACCTCCAATCATCTCCGCCCTTCAACGCAAGAGTTGCAAACAATGAAGAAACGTCAAAACTCTGTGAAGGTAGTTCGGCCCGAGTCGCCTTCAACTCCTCAATATAGGCAGGTTTCATGCCTGCAATCTGTGTGGAGAAGTGCCCCTCCACCGGGCCCTGCTTGCCAGGCTTTCCCTCGGTGCAACAGTAAGCGTGGTTCGACTCGACGAGGATTCAACGGGTCCCCCATTGAAAGAGCATAGCATAGCATAGCTATGCCTAGCCTGCCTAGCCCACATTCACCTAGAAATCCTGTGGCACAAAGTTGTCTATCACCGCATCCGAGACACAACTGCATCGACCTTGACTTCATTCTTGGTCTTTGCTTGCTCTTTAAAGACTTTCCTCACAAAGGTTGGGGCAAGTCAGGAACTGCAGGATGTGATAGACACAAGCAAAACACCAGTCTTATCCACTCAGCCACTCAACCTTTAGACAAGAGTCTTTTGCCACTTGTTCCTGCGTAAATCGAGCAGGTCTTCTATCGCAAAGCGGATACGCTTTGAGAACGCCTGCAGTACAACAAGCTATGCAAATGCATTGCAGAGAAAAAAAAACTCTCCAAGTGGTGTGCACCACTGACGCTGGCCATTCAGCAGTTTAGTTCTGTAGATGCCAGCCTGCTTTCCATCGCCCAGCAATTGCTTGGACAAGTCCTTCAAGCGTGCCTGCAGCATCTGAATCTCCACAGCTAGAGGCTCAACCTTTCTGAAGGGCTAGATGATGCGATGATGCGCGTCGCGCATCTGGAAGATGCACGCCCTTGTAATGTCTTGGTATCTACATAACATGAGACTGCATGTGGAGGCTCTGCTTTCACCAGCGATGGCCTCCAACCTTCAATAGCGACGGCCTCCAACCTACTAGCGATGTGCGGCCTCCAACCTACTAGCGATGGC